TGTATGCCATGTTTTAAAAGGCATTTTAGTTTCTAAGCGTTTTTTTAAATTCATTGTAATTTAATTGAAAATAAAGTAATAATTAAAAAAGCATCTTCAAATTAAGCTAAACGGAATTCATTCTGTGTTAGTGAATGACGTTAATGTTCTGTATTCCACTGTTTTAAGCTACATAATTAAGTGTATAAATTTTATGCGTATAAATTTTATAAATATAATAATAATACATGTTTTTTCTTCCTTGTTACTAAAAAAGTTGCATTATTTTCATTAATAGGTAATTAGTCTCGCACATTTAATTAAGTAGGTGCATTTAAACATTTTGAAATAATTTGAACAAAGATATTAAATATAGAAAATATACAATTTCAGAAAAAAAATTATATATTTTAGTTTTTTAAACTTTGATTTTAAACCTAGTAACTTAATATATAGTTATTACTTTTTCTCTACTAAATAGAAATATTCGGGAGGAAAATTAAGAAATAAAATTATTTTCAATGAAAAAACAAGATTTATTCTAATTAATATTTCATCATAATTGAAACATTTTCTATTATCCAAAATTTTTCCAGTCTTCCTTTAATGTGATTCTTTTTTTTTGTGAAAGCTTCTTTTTTACAGCAGAGCTATCCTTGAACACTTTATGAAAGTTTAGAGGGAGCCAATTTGTTTTTTTTCCTTTCGGAGCACTGCACTTTAATAATTTGACACGGTAAAAACTAACCTTAATTTCCGAATGACATATGTTGAAATTGATAGGACATTGTCATTTAAAATGACCGTGAATATAATTTCATTTTAACAAATAAGATTTAGGTCGTCTCAAAGGTTTTCTCTTTATAGCCGTTTCAAATCCCGAAATTGGCAGTCAAGTTGACTCTACATCTAGATCACATTTACACTATATATACTTAAATCCATATCTAAAGTGGATTCCAGGTTGCAACTTCATCGTTATTAAAAAAAAAGTCAGATTATTAGTAGTTTCCCTTTGTTACTTGTCAAATTTGTTATTTTTAAACTCAGAAAGCCCTGAGCTGATTTTTTCCATGTTATAAATAGACTTTTAAATGACGGATTAAAATATAAATTGCAGCTAACCAAAATTTTTTAAGGAAAAATATGTCTTGTGTAGAAACTATTCTAAGAACTTCCTAAATTTCTTTCCTTTCCATTTGTTTCATTTTTGAGCTACTTTCAAACAAATAAATCCTTTTTTTATTTGAATATTTTTATTATTATAATTTTCTAGACGTTAGAGTAAAGTAACTGTAGTTTATGCAATTAACATATATGAATATTTTTATGCCAAAAATGTTAATAATATTAAATCCTTCAAGAAAACTGGTATTAAAAAATAACTTTGTTTGAAATCTTTCGGTTTTAAAATGTAAAGATTAAATATAAAAATAAACATACTAAAATAAACCAAACCAATATAAATAAAAACATACTAAAATAAACAAAATTAACTTTTACAGCATTTTTCCTTGCTACGTTTTGAAAAATTTAGTATAGGTGTTAAATTTCAAACTAAAATTTATCATTATAATAGCACTAATTAAATTATATAAAGAATAACAATATATGAAAAATTTCTTGTACCAGTCTCTCTATGTAATGTAATTATCCAAATGTTGGGTTATAAGTTTTTTGATTTTGAATAATTTACAATTGCTTACACAAGTGAAAAATCAAATATTATCGAACGAATATCGTTATAAAGTAATTGACCTAGCTTTTTTCCTAAAAGTCTTAAATAATTCTTTCTAATATTCTACAGAAACTGATTAATAATTATTTAAAGTGCCTGAAATACTAGTTAACATTTCCATATCACTAAATTTGAAAGTCATATGAAGTAAACAACATGTGTACAAAAATATATGAATTTGTTGATGTATTATTAAAGCTTAAGTTAAATACGTTTTGATGTCGATATTTAGAATGGAGAAAATATTACTTCTAGATAGAAAATATTTTGATATAAATGCACTAAAACTTTAAATTTACATCAAATAAAAAAATAACTCTTTATATATAAAAAATGAAAAAAATATATTATATTCATCGGCAGTCTTTGATAATGCTTTAGAAATTTTTCACAAATGCGCTTTCTCTTACTCATAATTCAGCTATAAGGTAAGACAATTTGAAATTTTGCACAGTTCTAGAAAATTAAAAAACATTTGGATATAAAAATAGTATTGATGTAGTCATCAGTTTTTGAAAATTTCATGTCAAAATTGAGGTTTGTTTTTGTATTTTTGCACTACGTAATTTAGTTTCGCTAAAACTATTAACCTCCGAACTATAAACGTTTTTGAGCTAAATACTCTTATGTCCGAAAATGAGCATGACATCTTAGGCAAGACTTGTTTTGCACTAATTAAATAACTCATATTTAGTTTATATCGAATCGTTATTTTATTTCATTATCAGATATTTTATATTTTTCGTTTTTTTTGGAATAAAAGAAAAACTCATCACACTAAATTTAATCGCATTGTTAGAAGTTTAATTTGCATCAAAACATTGTGTAGACAAGGCAGTATTTCGAACCTAATTATAACAATAGAAGAGGAATTCAAGAAAGATGCTCTTTATTTTATTTCAATAAGTATTGGAATTGTTATATGTTTTGATATGCCGAGATTTTAAATCCTTCATCCAATATGATTATAATCAAGTATAAAAGACATTAAAGCATAGAACTGGAGAATTTAACAAAATGAAAGTGGAGTGATCTATATTGAACAACATACGCAGCTCTGGTGATTGGCAATCAGTAGGAAGCAAAGGGCAAAACTCTTTATTTTTTATCCAAAAATATCAAGAAGGACGCAGCTCACTCAAGCGACATCTAACTTTAAGGCGATGATTAAATGCGCGCTTTAATTGATAAGTTAAGGATTTGAACATTTCCAATTTTTTTTAAATAAACTGTGAAACCCAAATAGTTAACGCATTCACAGTAAGAAATGGACTCTCAAATTTTACGATATTTTCTTCGCTTTTGACAAAACCATTTCCTTGTATATGCTCCGAGAGAACATTTCATCAAAATAACGAAAAAACTGTCACTTTTTCAAGGAAATGATTTTCGTCAAAAGTAAAGAAATGTTTAGGTATTCTATTTTTTTCCAAAAGGAAAAAGAAAGAAAAACTCAAGGCTAATTCGTTATGCCTCATGGTATTTAACGGGTGGTATTCTTGAGGGTGGTATTCTTCCGAGAGCATCAGGTGGATCAATATCGCCCCAGCAACACCAGAACAGACAAAATCAAAAAAAAAAATATTGCATCCATGACCGAAGCGGGATTAGAACCCGGGATTTTCCTGATATGAGGCCTACTCCTTTACTATATAGGCCGGTTGGATTATTTCGCCATTTGTCTTGTCTTCATTCTCATTAACACTCTCTTACAATGCACTGCTATGAGGTTCCGAGTTGAGGAAACATTTTCGTCACATCTTTGAGAACTCGCGTTTCGTCACAAATTAAATGATTCTGTGACGAAATGATTCCTAAAACTAACGAAATACAGCTCAAGAATTACTGAATCGTCAAAAGTGAGAGTTTTATTTAAAAGTGTGTTTTCACTAAAAAATCCAGAAAAAAAAATAATAAATATTTTTTATTTTATTAATTTAAATTTTTATCATCAAACTACGATTTGATTTGTAAATCTTTATAGCACAGAAACTTTACTTTAAATCAGGTAGCAAATTACATATTTGTCAAAAGTAATTTTTTCCCCAGATCTAATGCATTTATCGGTATATTCTATATCACTTAGAAAATTATAATTACAAATAAGTAAAGGGCACAAAGCTTGAAAGTGAGTTGGTTTATATTAAATTACTATTAAGTAAAATATTCTTGTCTACTTTAATAACTTGTATTAAGCTTTTTGTACGAAGTAGTGAGAAATGCTAGTATGAATATATATCGAAATATAGCGTGCTATAATTAGCATGCTATAATCGAATATAGCATGCTTTAAGAATGAAAAAAATAATACGATTTTTTTCTCCAATTCATATTTTCAGACAAATTTTAACTCCCATTCATAAACATGAATGCATATTGTCATATTTGAGACAATTATAGTAAAAGCAAAGCAACGTTTGGATATTTTTCTTTTGAAGTAACCCTACATGCTCTTTTGTTTAACCTTATAAGAAAAACGATTGTTATTTCTTGAATTAATGAGTATATAGAAGCATCCATATCAGTTGTCCTTTTTATTTACTACGGTTTTGGTTTTTTTATAGAAAGAGACAGCAAATAGCAGAAAAATGAAAAGCAAATTATGTAATTTGAGGAATTTAAATAAGTAGAAGTTGTTTTAATCCTTCTAGGTAGGAAATAATTATTAACTTCTTAAGTTTTTATAATGTCTATTTTAACAACTAAAATAAATTCATTATCTTTTAAAACACAATTATTATTATAAAATGGAAATTATTATTTATTTAAACATACAAAAAAATTTTCCCCATATTTCAGCTATTTTCTTTTAAAAATAAAAAATACATTATTCGTTTAATCTTAGTCGTATTTTCAATAAGAACAAATTTTATAAAAAATATTTAAACATGACGTTTTTCATAAAAAAAAAAATTATAAACAAAGATGCATATCATCAATTTATTTTTCAAAATCATTAAAGAAAAAAAGAAAAATTTATACTTCATACAAAAGGTGTCAATTAAATAGCTTTAGGTAGAAAAAAAGCATGATCTGTTACGGAAAAGAAAAATCTCAAAAACTCTTTTTAACACAGAAAAGACTTTTCATAAAAGAAGAAAAGAAAACGAAAGGTAAGGTAAATCTCAGTTTAGAGAAAAATCTCACATTTTTATTTCTTTATTCCGAAACATTCATTTTTATCGCAATACTTAAGTATCGGGCAGTTGAAAGCCTAGCGCCAAATTACCTCGCCAAATCCGCCAAACGCATTAACTATAGGAGCGAGTATTGTATTGGACCATTTACTGTTAGGGAACACCAAGAGCAATTCGGGAACAAGAAGAGTCAGGGATTGAGTGTAGTGACTGAAACACGTGATTACTTTACGTCATGAAAGTCCAGTCAGCTGAGCCGATATTTCTTTCGGTAATTGTCATTCGGCGGGAAGAGTGAACGCTAGTTCAAACACATCTTAGTTTTTATATAATTTGTGAAGACATTTATAAGGGATTTTGAGTGGATATTAACTATGATTATATCGTGTTAATGTTTAAACAGTTATTTCTATTTATAAAGAACAATATGCTGATTTTCATTGTCAGTATTTCATTTTTATGGACTGTCATTACAGCCAATTCATCTTTTATGAACTATGACCGAAGTAAGTTAATAAGATATTAATCTTTTCTTAAATTTTCGTTTCGGTTTTCTTTTGAATTCCTGAAGAAAGAAAATGTTACAATTTTTTTGTTATCAGTTTTAAAAATTCTACTCAGTGGAATTTCAATTAACGAAATGGGGATTTACTTCTATAAAAAATAATTCTTAATTAAAAAACTTAGCGAATTATAAGTTATGGTTAGCTTCGTTTTGAAATAAATGTTAAAAATAACGTGAAATGCGAAAATACAAGCTTAAAGAGATAGCCATTACACATGCTTAGATTTTATAATATGACTAGATTGAGAAGACCTTAACCATATTTTTTTATTTATCATTCAAATTTTTAATTCTACTAGTTAAAAGTCATTACCTGATAAATAATACCTCTATTTAAGAAAAGTCATTAAAAAACTTTTTCCTACGTTTAGTACCGAAGATATTCTATTTTATTTATTTCAACCCCCATGAATTGTAAAAAATTGTATCTAGTGTTGTTTCTTCTTCGGCTAATTTATTTTTGCTTTTCAAGTATAAATCCAAATCTTTAGGGATAATACTTGCTCATGGTATCAACAAAGTAACTGTCTGAATTTTGACTTTTTTGTTTCTTCTTCTCACCTCGTTAATTCGCTATCAGGCTTAATTATTCAAATTAATTGAGGTCAAAAAAAGTTTATCCAATAATAATTTGCAACTTCCGAATGAACTTACGAAAAGTGCAAAAAGAAAAATAAAGAAATGTTGTTGATAAAAAATTATGCTTTTAAATTATTTACTAATAAACTTACCCGAAAATTTAATGAAGAAATTAAAATGATTTTTATTTAAAATTTATAACTGAGGTGGATATTCTTTAAAATTTATTTCATTAGCTTTTAAATTAAAGTTATTGTTTTATGCATCAAAACTGAAAAATCCATATTGCAAGGCAATAAAATTTCGTAAACGAAAGCAAATCAAGAAAAACGCATGTTAAAATAACAAACAATATATAACAAAGAAAAAGCTCAAATGTTCGTATTGAATCTAAAGGTAGAAAAAAAAATTTACGTTACAATATTTAGCTTTTTTTAGTTATTTAAAATAACTCCACACGAGACAAATCTTATCACCAATAACAATTTATTTTGTAATAATTTATAAATATAATATAATTTATTGAAGAAAGGAAGCATCTTATGCAAACGTCGATGTTTCTGCAATTTTAAAATGAGGTATTAAAATGCTTTAAAATAAAATAATTAATGAATTAATTATTCTTGCTAGCTGTGCACTATAAACTGAAAGCTCTTTTAATTGCATTCTTATATAAATTTGCCTAACATTCTTATATAAATTTGCTTAAATATTTTACATAAATTTGCCTAACAAGTATATTTATAATAAATGGAGTGAAAATAGTAAGACTATTATATATATGCTGCAGTCGCTATAATTTTTCTCTATTTTCCCCATAAAAATAGTTCTTGAGGAGAAAAGAATCAGTTGACATTTTCGCTTATTCACGGTGGAAAAAATGACGAATTTGTCTGATCAAAAGTTTTAATTCGTTACTATTTTCTTCTAAAAATTTAAAAATGCCTGCTTCACTAATAAGAATTGATTTTAATACTTTCTTTACAAATGTATTTATTTCTTATAGCTTAGCATTAAACTTTCTCAAGCTTTATTAAATTATACTATGCCCTTAACCTTTATACATTTTTCTAAAAAAAACCACATTAATAAAATTTAATATTTGTAATATGTTTTTTTCTTTGATCAAAATATTATTGATGAATAATACATAAAGACGCATTTGAAATATTTTTTTGTTTTATGTTATCGATTCTATGCTTTGAAATGATCCAAATTTCCATTTTTTTTTAAATTAGCCTATTCATGTTTATCATTATAATAATTTTATTTATGGTGTAGGTGTTTCTACTTCTATTACCAATACTCTAATTAGATAGTTTGTATAAAAATATTCAAATTTATTTTATTAAAGATTGTGCAATAGCTGCATTTAAAAATTGTACACACGCGCAAGCGCTGAAAGTCTAATTTAATAAAAACAAATAATTAGATAGAACGCTCAACTTTAAGAGATGCAGGAAAAATGTTAGCACAAATCTTACAAACTATAAACCTTGAGCCGCGATCACTCAGGGGATAGAGCAGAACCGGGTTCGAATTCCAGTCGATACGAATTCTGCATCCGGCTTGCACCGACCACAGTGCTGACGTGAATTATCCTCAGTGGTAGACGAATCATGGGTTAGAGTCCCCTTGCCGTCAGGCTAACCGTGGGAGATTCTCTGGGTCTTTCTCTCCCTGTAGCACAAATGCAGGTTAGCTCCATCTAAAAGTCCTCCACGAAGGCAAATTTCTCCCAATACTCAATCCAGGAGTTCCCTTGTCTTCTGGATTGAATTCAAAATTACAAGGCTACGGAGTTGAACATNAAAAAAAAAAAAAAAAAAAAAAAAAAAAAAAAAAAAAAAAAAAAAAAAAAAAAAAAAACTTGAGCCGTGGTGGTTTAGGGGATAAAGCGCTCACCTCCAAATAAAGTGAACGGGGTTCAATTCCCATCAATGGCTTGTCGATAAGAATTTCGCACTCGGCTTGCTCTGACCACAGTACTGATCTAAAATATCCTTAGCGGTAGAAGGATCATGAGTTAGAGTCCTCTTGCTTTCATGCTTACCGTGAGATGCTTTCGAGGTTTTCCTGTAAATGCAACGCAAATGCTACTTTGTTTCATCAGAAAGTCCTCCCTGAAGTCAAATTTCCACTAATACTTGATCTATACTTGTACCCTACTAATATTTGTTCCTTTGTCTTCTGGATTGGGTTCAAAATTACAAGGCTGCAGACTTGAACATTGGTAGTCTCAAACTCAAAATTGAGTCGGTTGTTCAACGATGGTGATAATTTCATAAGACTACAACCTTTAGAACACCTTAATTTTTACAAACGCAGTATTTATATATTTTACTTTGAATTATAATATGAAATAACTAATTGTAACATAATTTTTTATCCTAATGTTTAAGATTTGTAAAGCATACCACAAATAATAATATTTACTACAAGCACATTTACAAAATGTTACTACATTCCTTAAAAATGTGTAAATTTATAGATAATGTTGATACTTATGGCCTTGCAGCTAAATATTTCTTTTTTGTTTTTAGAACTGAGAACCGTTATAATTGTTTTTTAAAGAAGAATTCGGCTGATTTTAGATATAGATTTTCTCAACAGCAAAGAGTTGCATATAAACTTAAATACCTAATAAGTTGTATATAAAATAAAACCAAAATACCGAACAAATTATTCCTTTATGTTTTTGTCTTGCTAATTTCAGTATTAGTTAATAAATAATAAAATGATTACTTATTATTAATAAAAAATAACGAAATAATTAATTTTGCAAATTACTCCAAATATTAATTAAAAATTAAAAATAAGCATTCGTTCGTTTCTTGATCTGTTAAGGGCTAAAAAGGTTTAAAGATTAAAAAAAATTACTTTTTGTGTCTTTTATCTTAATTTATCAATTCTTAACTTATTCACTCGTAACTTTATTTTTACAGAATTTTCTCATAATATCGATTATTATATTCTTTTTTTTTAAGTAGTAAACCATAAAATAAAATTTCAAAAAGAAAAAAGAAACAAATAAATAAAACAATTTTCTTTCAAAAAGTAATTGCGGGAGAAAAAATATTAGTAGTTAAGATGATAACCTAGCGTTTAAAAAGTAACCGCAATTCATTTAATTGCACATTGTTGAAATCGATTGAAACTTTTTTTAAGCATTAAAGGCTATATTGAAGTTATAATCGATTCTTTTGACGGCAAGCTTAAAAGGTCCAAGATCAATTTCTTTTAATTAATAGGCTGTACAATTATTTTTTTGATGACAAAGTTCTCATAATGTGGTTTTTCGAAGAAGCAAGCAAAGCACAAAAATATTTACTCTGCTTTTTTCTTTTTTGGATGTTGCAAGATAATCAATTTCATGAGATAAAATCAGATTAGTTTAGTACGAAAAAATCTTGTTACTTTCGGCGTATAAATTAACTTATTTCCTACGTTTTGTTTTATGCGTAATTTCTATTAGGATAAATTATTTAAAATAAAGTTTAATAAACCCTTTTACTAAGTTTTGTATTCAAAATTTAAGTATAAAAGTACTACATTTAAATATTTTCTTACTGCTTTCAGATTTCAAAATATTTCTTTGAAATATTTAACTGTCAACAAAAAATTTTATACTTTTAAGTGCTGTTTGAAAAAAATTTTTTTTTGCATCTTTGAACGTTAAATGTTCGATATTTTACAATTTTCAAGCAAAACTGTGCGTTTTTACTTCTGAAGTGGAACTTTGCAAGAATGGAAACAATTAAAAGGCAATGATTTTTTTAAAAATAATTTTAAGAAGATTTTAATAACTATAATTGCATAAAATTTGATATTTATCGTGTTTCTTACTTACTTATACAGCATTACAGCCCGCTGTGAGCCTTGGCCTTCTGGACGATATCGTTTCAATCCTTCCTATTTTTGGTTTTAAACTTCCAGCTTTTCACCTTCAAGGTGATAAGGGTTTCGATGGTATCGTCCAACCATCTGTTTTTCAGTCTTCTTGGCCTCGATTTTAAAAGTTTCCATTTTAAATTTTGTTTTACTTTTAAAAAATTCTGTTATCGTTTAATCTTTCAATGTCCTTCAACCATTCCAAACGTCTGGACTTAATAAATTGGATTATACTTTTTTGTCTGATTAAATGGTCAAGTTAACTATTTCTTCTTATTCTTCTTTGTATATTATTTACTTAGATTACTTCGAAAATTCTTCTCTACATTTTCCCTTCGAAGATAAGTAGGTTAGATTCGCTTCTTCTTTGTTAAGGTCTAAGTTTCACTGCCATACGCAACTATAGTCCTGATAACTGCTTTTTATATCTTTAACTTGTTTTCCTTAGTAAGAAGCTAGTTCTTGAAAAAG